AAGACTAGATATTTATAGTTACAGTTTTCCTTGTTTACTCCACTCAGAAAAGAAATTTTCTAAAGAAATATAAAGTATATAAGATTGAGAGACATAAAAATACAATTTTGAGTTGGTAATGCAAGTTAGACTAGACAGTGAATTAGGTAAAACACTTTGGATTTATCAAGATAGGATAGATAATGAGGTATTTTCTCTGAATTTGTCAATTGTTAATGAGCTAGAAATTGTTTGTGTATTTATTGCCTATATATTATATACAATTATTATAGTTATTGTATATAGTTTTTCTTATTTTAGTTATAGTCTTTTCTATTTTACACAAAAGGGGATATGTAATAATATTTTGTTTGTGTTTTAACAAAGCTTGCCTGAAGATCAGAGCGCAGAACTAAGACACCAGAGGTCAGGCAGTGGTGGCACACACCTTTAATCCCAGGACTTGGGAGACAGAGGCAGATGGATCTCTGTTAGTTCAAGGCCACCCTGGGCTACACAAAATTGATCCAGTCTAAAGCAGAAACAGAGCTCACACAAAAGTGATTTCAGTACTTGGGATCACATGCCTTTACTCCAACACTAGGGAGGTGGAGACAGGAGTGATAATGCTGGGTGGAGAGAGGAATATAAGGTGGGAGAGAGAGGAACAGAGTATGTATAAAAATGCAATCTGGAGATGTGTCTGAGAATTCGTAAAGACAGGATCACCCCTTTGGTCTGAGCATTGGTAGAGGTAAGAACTCTCTAGTGGCTGACCACTCTGCTTCTCTGATCTTCAGCATCAGCTGCTATATCTGACTCTGGGTTTTTAATATCAATACCAATTAGAATTTGTGCTTTACTCCATGAAACCACTGTGAGGTAGCCCATCAGCCTTAACTGTGTTTAAATCCTCTGGGAGAGTTGGGCTGTATGAGTCTCTACTCCTTCCCTAACAGGGTATTGATGAACCTAATATTGTGTATACCTACACTTCACGATTTTTTAAAGCTTAAAAATGTATTGACTATTATAATTTTATACTTACATATAAAATGTACTTTGATCACATCTACTAATTTTTTTTCTTATTTCCCTTCCATTTTGGCCAAGCATCCACTTCTCAATCTCTCTCTCCTCCACCCAACTTCTTTAGTGTGCATAGTATTTATTTATATTTATTTTTTGACCACTTACAATTTGCCACATCACTGAAGAATATGACTTGCCCCCATCAAGCAAACATTAACTGCTTATGGCTCCCCAAGAAAGTGGGCCTTATGAACCCTTTTCTCACTCATGGTGGAATGTTGATGGCCCATGGCTTCACTTTTATAGGAGCTTTATCTTCAAAGAAAACCAAACAGTGGTTATGGAGTGCAGCCCCTTACCTCTGCCACCCCACAATTAACATCTGTTAGCATGGCCCATGTGTGACAACTTCTGAGTCATAGGAACAAACCCACTGCCACCCAGAGCCTGTGGTCCATGGCAGGGTTCATGTTTGGCATGCAGTCTGGCGAACATGGCAAGTGTGTGGTGACTGACACCAACACCTGCAGTGCCAGGGAGTGTTCCAACTGTGCCCGAATCCTCTCTACCAGCACTTCAGCCTCTGCCAGTTACAAACATTTTACTGTTTTTCCAGGCGGTGGGGCCGGAAGCCCCAGCAGACTCCATGCTTTTCCACACTTTTGTGTTATTTATGGCTATTCTCCACAATTCCTCATGCCCAAATGTCTCCAGAGTTCCTAGAAACAAGGGGATAGCACACAGGGCTTTAGACCCTCCCTCCTCACAGGGCTTGAGTAGCTGAGGAAAACACTTGTAGTGGAGCCACAGGTATGCAAGAGAGAACTGGCAGCCGGTGCTTGGAAAATGAGGCATGTCTTCTCCCAACTTACCTCTGGGAGGCTCCCCCAGGGCCTCCTCTCTCACTCAGAGAGCCCTGTAGCCACTTCTGCTGGGCCTTTTGTGGTTGGCCTACATAGCAGAGGATGGCACTGAGCTTCTGACCATCCCTCCCCCACTTTCCCGTATCACCACATCTGGATTTTCTTTTGTTTCACTTTGAGATTGTCTCGTTGGCCGGGAGGTCTCCAAGCGGGAAATCTGGCTAGTCAGGGTGCCCCTGTGGTCTGCTTCTGTCTCCCCAGCTCTGGGATTCCAAATGTGGACCATCACAAGCAACATTTTCCCCTGTAAGTTCTGGGATCAAATTAACGCCTTGTGTTTCCAAGGCCAGCACTTAAGTGACTGAACTGTCTGTGTATCCCCTAGGTTTCAGGTTTTCATAGATGTTTTAATTGGCACATATGTAATGCTATGTTTCCTTGTGATATTTTCAGTCATAGACATAATGCTTTTTATATCATACCCTCCTCTTTCCCCCTCTCATGACAAAGTGAGTCCTGCCCACCTCTTCCTCTTTTGGACAAGTTTCCTGTGTTTTCCTGTGCACTGGGGACTCAGTGAGTCTCATTGCAGTTGCTTAGAGGAGTCCGAGTGAGGATTTGCATGCATGAGCACAGGCAACTTCCTAGAGGCTACACCATGGAAGAACATGTTTTTCCATCCCTCATCAACCACTAATCCGGTATGAAGCCTCAGGGAGGGGCACATCAGCCTGAGCCCTTCCCCTCCCGTGACAGGAAGTGAACAGATTGAGAATCCAGGATTTTTTTTGGGGGGGTATAACATTTATTATTTTTCTTAGTTCTACGGGCATTTCATACAATGCATTTTTATCATTTTCACCTCTCCCCAACTCCATCCAGATCCACTCCCCTTCCCTGCCTACCCAACTTTGTATCCCTGCTTTCTTTTTGAAGTCAAGCACAATTTGTCCCCCCTACCATATGCTCTTGGATTTGTAGCCTTCTGGAGTGTGGTTGAGAAAACTGTCTCTCTTCCTCCCAGCAGCTGTTGACTGCCAATCGCTCATCAGCTAGGGGTGGGGCTTTGCCCTCTCTTCCTCTGTTCATGCTAGGAATCCTCCCTCCCTCCCTCTCTCCTCTCTTTTCCTTCCTTATTTTTGTAACCAACTACATTTGATCAGGTCACTTTCCCTGTAACACTCTTGGGGTAATATGCTTGACAAGGGTAACTTACTCTTGGCCATTGACGAGTATGACTCCCCTGCCCCCAACAACTCTTAACCACCTATGCTATTTAGGGAGGGATGGGCCTTATGAGGTGATTCCCTACTCCATAATGGAAGTTTGATGGAGCCATGGATTTTGTATTTGAGAGCAGTTTTAGGTTCATAGCAAAGCTGAGAAGGAGGACGAGAATGCTGCCATATACTTCATGCCCCTCCCTGATGGCCCTCCAATATCACTCACCAGCATGACACATGACTGTTAAGCTACAGAGACACTCTGTTGCTACCCATAGCCCATGGTGTGCTCGAGGTTTGTGTTTGGTAAGTGAGGCCCATGACAAGTGTTTAAGGACAGGCACCTGCAATTGTCTTGCTGGGGAGTGTTCCTATTGCCCTTAACATTCTCACTCCCCTTCTACTCCTGCCCTGCAGCTCCCACTTTGTCAACCACCGAGTCTCACTGTTTGTTCTAGAAAGTGGTGCTGGACTCCCAGAAGACAGGGTGCATGTCCAGTGCTTCCGTGCCCTTCATGACTGCCCTCCTGCTTTACAATTTCTCATCTCCAAATCTCTTTCAGCTTTGTTTACAAGGAAGGAGATGTGGAAGCACGGTTTAGTGCCCTCTTTTCCTGCATAACCCGCGGAGAGCGGCAGAATGATGGTGGTGAGCCACCCAGCTCAAGGGAGAACTTGGTAGTCAATGATGGTCCCCTGCTGCAGACCTGAGGCGTGCCTGAAGCCTACCTCTTCTGGGAGTCCTCCTCGGTCACCTCAGAGGATTCCAGAGTGGCCCTTCTACCTCTCGCACAGCTTTGCACTTGCCGGCTTCTGTGTCATCATAGCTCCTTGCTCTCCCGACCACCATCATCGGTGTCCAATCAGAGCACATCATGAGCTCTGCTGTCAATGCCTCTGGTCCCACTCAGGTGGAACAACCAGGCCCCCACTGCACACACAGTAAGGTCAGACAGAAACTAAGTTGAAGAGAGTTTTTTAGTTCTCAAGTTAACCTTAGCTTCATAAGAGTGGCAACAGTCTCTGTGTCTGTCTGTCTGTCTGTCTGTCTGTCTGTCTGTCTGTCTGTCTCTCTCTCTCTCTCTCTCTCTCTCTCACACACACACACACACACACACACACACACACACACACACAGAGAGAGAGAGAGAGAGAGAGAGAGAGAGAGAGGTCCACAGAAGGGACCTGCCCTCTGGTTTCTAACGTACTCTTTATGAACTCCTATGAGCCAGTCAGTCAGAGCCTTCCTTTCTTGTGGAGAAGAAGAAAGATGGGATCAGTTTTATTGAACCGCTGAGCTTTCATGACGGTCTCTTCTACTCTGGGCTTCTTGCAGGGGCCCTGACTCTAGGAGTTATCATGAGTGACCGCTCCATGCAGACGGTCAGGGGCAGTGGCCACAGGATGAAAGTGTTGATAATCTTTTTAGGGATCTCCATAGTATCCCCTTTCCTCACTCTGTATGGCTGTCATTGAGGTGGAATATTTCCCCACAGCCTTCCTGACAGAGAGCTGAAAACCTCAGATGTTGAAAACCCTACCTGGTAGACAGTTCCAGTATCCCATGGGCTTCTTCTGCCCTTGTCATTAAGGTCCTTCTGGGGGCAGTAGACAAGCTTGAATGTAACCATGGCTACACATCTGGATGTGGCCCTCCTCTGTCCTCCATCTGCCACTAATAAGCATTATTCATGGGTGGAAGCTAAAGGGTCTATTGTCTACTCTTGTGCTGACCTGGGACTGAGAAGTTGGAGTTGGGGCAGGACCCTACACACAGGGTTGTAGGTCCCATTGAGGTTGAAGGAAGAAGGCACCAGGTAGGCTCTCTCCTCATGGGTGCAGGGTCTGATGTAGCCGTAGCTGTTATACCTGGGTGTCTCTAGGAGCCACAGAAGTCAAAGGGTCAGAGCACGAAGCCTACAGAGTTCTCAGATGTGGTCAGGTTGACCTTAGAATGGGGTATGTTGTATAAGCCCACTGTAACCCAGGCCACCAAATCCTATTGGAAAGACAAAGATTTCAGTGAACAGGGCAGTGCTGAGTGCTGGCCACCTGAGGTTTCTCCAGCTTGGGCTGTGTTTACGTGTGCCTGCCCACACCCTGAGATGTCCTTAGTCCCACTGAATAAAGCACACCCATCTGCCATGACCCCTGAACACGTGTACCAGCCAGTAAGCACACCTCCTGGGATCAGTGACAGGTCTAGGGAGTGGTTGGTGACAGGCCTGAGGTGGGCAGAGGTGGGGCATTACCTTATCTTTAATGTTCATATTGTTCCGGATGAAGTCCTTGAAGGCCACTGGGGGATTCCAGGGGTTATATTGGTTGTAGATGCTGCTACTGCACCTCTCAGAATTCCGGTATTTGGTCACAGCCAATGGGTACCTACAGGTTGAGAAGAAGGTATCTCTGGGCACTGGGGTTGCATCTGGTCTCTTCCCAGGGAGCATCCCCAGTGTCAAGGATGGAAAATTTAGTCCTTCTCTGTAATGAGTGTTTATACCCTAGAGGCCTGGAAAATTGCCCATCACCATCTTAGTACCCTAGAGGCCTGGAAAATTGCCCATCACCATCTTAGGGCCAGGATCTCTGCAAACACTTCCTGGAACTAGCTCTTGTAGACCAGGCTGGCCTCGAACTCACAGAGATCCGCCTGCCTCTGTCTCTCGAGTGCTGGGATCAAAGGCGTGTGCCACCACCACCTGGCAAGCACTTGCACGCTTTCCTTGAGTGTACAAGGGTGCACATCCAGATGCAAACACAGACAGGAGCCTTTCAGGACAAAAAGCCCAGACAGAACATACAATCATTGTGGGGAGCGCATGGCTTTGTTCTCAAACTCAGTATATTTTCTCACCTGGCCCAAGAGAGACCTGGTTTCTTCTGCCAGTCTGGCAGCTCCACTTGAGGGACTGTGGAGTAGATCCGCAGGCGGTAGCTGTTCCTGTGGCCATGGTGGGTCTTGTGGAGGTTGCTGAAGACCAGGTAATTGGGAAGTGGCTTTCAGAAGAGGAAGGTTGCCTGATGCCCCCGGGAGTAATTAGTTTGCTTTAGGGTGTTTTGGGTTACATGGTGTCTCAGGCCTTCGGTGATGTTTTTCCGAACAATCTGCAGTGACTGGAAGCTGTTCTTGCTGCCTGGAGGCCAGAGGGGAGAAACGGTGAGAACGGGTTGTTGAAACAGACACTGCCTCCCTCTACTCTAGGGTTTCCACCTAGACAATATGCACAGACAATGGCCAGAAAGAAACTATGCTAGGGGCAGACCCCGGGCTAGCAGTATGGGCTACAAGACCAAGCAAAGCAGAAACCAGAGGAGCTAGAGGACAGCTCGTGGTCATTCCTGGCAACTGCAGCAGTTCCATTGTGGGCCCACCGTTCTCTGGAGAGCTTGCTCCAGCCTGTCTGCTGTGATTTTAGCTATGTAGAACAGGAAGCCCATGCCTGTTTCTGCGGCTTGAGGACCATGTGTGTACTCCTGACCAGAGGGCTCAGAGGGAATGAGCATGTGGAAGTCACCTATCTGGTTCTTGTGGCCTTGTTCCATTATGGGATATGAGTCAAACATCACTTCTCTGCCATTCTTCTAGGGTGACATTGATAAGAAACACACTGAACACCCCCAGATGGTACTAGAACCCACCTCAAAGGCACTAGGCAGAGACTTAGCTAAACCTCCATGGAACCTGTTCCCCCCAAATCCCCTATGCACTGTTCTACTCAGCCCCGATAAGAACAGATCCACACTTGGCAATTAGGGTAATCCTAGCATACCATTCACTGCTACCATTTTCTAGGAATGTGTATTTCTCTTTGAGTGGAAGGTGGTTGAAGCGATCTCCTGATATTATGCCAAGGAGCCTTAGCCCAACCTATAGAGTGAAGTTATATGTGGGTAGTAGTTGAGTGTATGAGTTAGTGTGGTCCCAGGTCCTACCTGCTACATCCAGGTCAATGCGGTAATGTACAAGGTGAGTGTGGATGTTGCTGAATAGGTGGGTGTGTGGTTGAGAGAAGTAGTTCATTCCCTTGGGCTGGTAGAAGGTAGAATGGACCAAGGCAGAGGCTTCCATCTGTGTTTCCATTGCCCCATTAGGGTAGAAAATGAAGTCCCAAGTATAATCATAGTGGTGGACTGTTGAGGTTGTCCGCAGCACCAGCCTGTGTTCCTTCATCCTGGCACTGGACTCGGAGTTAAAGTCGGAGTTAAAGTGACGTGGAATTGGTATTCCTGCTGGCATCTCAAAGAGACAGAGAGCTTGTGGATAGGAGACCGGCGCATCAGTGTCGTAGTGGTGGATGACTTCCAGGAAGGTTGCTGTGTCTGGACAATCAACGCCCTGGACTAACTGGTGAGTGACTCTGTCTGGGCCCCAGCCCACATCCATGTACCTGGGTCGAATGGAGCTATATGTCCTCCCACCTGCGCCACAGTCTCTTGTACACTGACTTCATACGCAATGCGCACACCCCGGAAGTGCACATTCAGGATCTGCATGCCAGAAGAGGGTCGTAGACGGAAGGAGAAGATCCAGTCTCTGTAGTACACTGTGTTGTCCTCTATGTTATAGGGAGGAAGGTGGGGCTCAGCCACATTGATGGGGGAGAGTTGGGGCTGCTCTGTGTCCTTGGGCAGTGGCTCCACAATGACCATGACAGCCACTTCTCCATCCTCATATTTCTGAGCCAGTTCCTCTGGACTGTTGTAGAGCTTACCGTTATACCAGACCTGCTCCACTCTCCAGTCCTGGACATCTGTGCTTCCGTGATCCACAAGGATCTACAGGCCTGTGGGCTTCAGGAAGTGGCCTGCCATATAGCGTTGCAAGATAAACCAGCTATGGCGCTGGCCAGGCTTTGTGCCCTGGGGGGCCACATATGTGAAAGTCAGACAACCCTGATCACAGTCCTTTAGCGAGTGGTCTGTGATGTCAATGAAGAATTGATCCAGGGGCTCAGTGGCCTTCTTCAGGGTCTGGTGGATGAGGTGATACTCTGCTTTGGAGATAGGTCTGGATGCCCAGGATGGATGGTGCTCGGGTAAGGGAGCTATTTAACGCATGTAGATGGGCAATGGCAGGGACCCAACAGCAAACTCAATGACATTAGGGTGCTCCTGGGCACCGAAGAAGATGACCACACGGGCTTCCCGCACAGGATTCCTTTTTCCTCTGTCCAGAAAATCCAGCACATCCTTCTTTCTGGGCAGCAGCAGCTCCATGAGGTACACTGAGTTCTTGGCCAAAGTGGGTATCTCAGATGGCTGCAGCTCCAGCTCCTTCCTGTCCATCAGAACGTTGTGCAGGATCTTCATCTCAAAAGGGGTCAGGCCCATGAAGACCTGGGGTTTGCCCTTCAAGCTCCACCTGGGACGCTCTGCCATGGCCACCTGTAGCAGCAAGACGGCAGCCACCCAGGCCAGTGCCAGGTTCCTTTGTGCCATCTTCATGGCTCTGGAAGACAACACAGGAGGTCAGATGTAATTATCTCCCACTGCAAGCTTGTTCCTCACAGTGCCTAGCCCTTCAGTCTCGTCCTTTCCTACTGATCCGACTTCTTTCCTCTCCCCAGCTGAAGTCTCTGGGTGATGGCTCACAGATCTCAGCGCTGTGCAGGTCCAGGTATGTGCATCTTCCTCCCTCCTCTGAAAATCTCTTATAGTCTTCCTTATCTTGAAAAACTCCTCTGTTTTCCCCTCTCGGTGTTATCTCAGTGGGGGAACATTCATCAGGTGTGAGGACCATGAGTCACAGCAGCACAGGATTTAGCCCTCATGGGCTACAAGGCGCTCCTGTCTGCTGGGGCAGAGGGCAGTGCTGACAGCAAAATTGCCCTTCCGATGTAATAAACTACCCCTTCGAGAGAGGTATTTTGAAATTTAGTGTAGATGTTCAAATTCAGGCCCTGGGCTCAAGCTGTCGGGGTTCAAGTCCTGGGTAGTCACAACACTGAGGACTATCTGTGTGACTCTCTGGGCCCCCATTGTCTCACTGTGAAATAGAAATGACAGCAGCAGTATGCATGTCCCAAAGGCTGTGGAGCAAAGCAAGCTGATGCTAACGGTAATATAAAATGCTTAGGACAATCCCTGGCTTCCAGAAATACAGGATTATTGGTTTTGCTTCTCTTTCAGGTGAACCCCAATGCGGACTAGAGAGCCGGTTCTGTGATTACGAACACTGGCTGCTCATTCAGAAAACCCATGTTTGATTCCTAGAACCTATATGGTGAGCTCACAACTGTCTGTAACTCCAGCTCCAGGGGATCCAATACTCTTCTGGCCTCTGTGGTCACCAAGCATGCATGTGGTGCACAGACATATATGTAGGCAAAAAGTAGACATAAAATAACAATTACAAAATTTTAAAGGGAACTCCAATGATCCAGCCTGAAACTGGAGTTTCTGGGCAGTTACTGTCTAGACCAAGCCTGGGAGCAAAAAAAGGATGGGAAAGATCCCTGTCCTGCCCAGCTTCCTTCAGCATCCCTGCGTGGTACTCAAGTCAGGGTCTCCTTACCGTAAGTTTTTGGGAGCACCCTGTTAGCCCATCTCAGATAGCGAATCAGGACGCCCCTCTCCCTTTCCAATTGGTGGAAGGCACGATTGGATTTTCCACCTTCTAATTCTCTGTCCAAACTGCAGCACAATACTGTGTACTCACAGAAGTTGGGTTTGCTTGCAGCGCTGGAAGAACTGGGTGGCTGTTGCTCTGTCCTGGCCTATTCCTGGCGGTGGAGCTGTCCGGCAGGCCTTTCTGTATAGAGCCACAGGCAGACCTCTTCCCTTGCACAGGTGCTACAAGTTGTCACTGCCACCAGCTCTGAATTCTCCAGATCCTAACCCGACGCTAATGCTGCGGGGCCCTGGAGGAAGCCCCTCCCAGGTGGCATCTCATGGCAAATGATCTGTCTCGCACCTGCCACTATCGCCAGAAGGCTTCATGTGACTGTGGAGTGCACTCAAGTGTCCCATTGACTTTCCAGCTGCGCTCCTCATAGGTGACTACTGCTGAGCAACAGGGATACTCTCAATACCACCTCGAAACCAATATGCGTGCCTTCGAGAAGTCTTCTGTCACTTGCTCTGGGTTTTCACACTTGATGGCCTCCTGCTCTAAGCCATGTCTTTTTGGCCACACCCCTTCCATGCCAGACACACATAGACCTTCTGCTCCTAGTCAAATGGTAAAACTGAGCCCCAACGGCATGCTCACTAGGATCAGACAGCCTGGTGGCAGAGAAGAAAGTGAGGGTGAGGGGAGGCTTTCGTTCCCAATGTTACCATCAGTCACACACACACACACACACACACACACACACACACACACACACACACCTCTGCAGGAGATGCTTGAGAAGATACTTGCCCTCTTATTTCTAGTCTATTTAGCTCCCCTAGAATGCTTGTCTAAACCAATCAGAGCTTTCCTTGTGGAGGAAGAATCCTTGGATTAGTTTTGTTGAACCTCTAGACTTGGCTGCCTCTCAGCTTTCATGACTGCTTCTTCTGCTCCTGGTTCTTTGTTGGGCGTCCTGGATTTAAGGGTTGCCAAGAGCAACAGCTCTGCCTGGCCTAGGAGTCACAGTGTTGGACCCATAGAATGGGTTCCTAATCTGTTTGCTTTTCTGTTTTTCTCTTTCTGCAGGCCTGGGGTACGAAATTCCACACACACACACACACACACACCTTGTTAACTTCCCTTTTTCTTTTTGTTAGTTTGTTGAGAACATCCACAGTGAGTTTTGATTGTGCTCACCCCTTCCCCACTACCTCCCAGATCCATATCCTCTTCCCTACCCACTCAGCTTTGTGTCCTCTGTCTGTCTTTCCCCCTAAAGTCCAATTTCCGCTGCCCATATACTCATGGGTGACTGCCCACTGATGTGTGGGTGACCTACCAGTGGCGATACTCTTTAAAAGAAATTGACTCTCTCTTTCCCAGTTGTGATCAGTTGCCAATAGCTCCTCAGCTAGGAGTGGGACTTGAGGCCATTGCCCCCCCAATGCTGGGATTTGGTTTGGCTTGAGGTTTCCTGGACCCTTTGTACACTGTAATGATCACTGTGAGTTCCTATGTGCAGTGGCCTCATTGTGTCTGGAGGACATTGTTTGCCTCATTCACTGCCTCTGGCTCTTACCCTATTACCCTCCTGCTCTGTAATGATCTCTTAGCCTTGAGGGGAAGAGATGCAGTGTTACGCCACAGGATGCAACCTAGACCTGGTACCCTTGTTGGCCCAATAGGAGCCTGTGGCTAGATGCGTCGTCGGCCCTAGGGGAGAGCCTGTGGCCATCATTTACTAAACAGACATGTATTAAACTGACTCCCAGTGACTTACTTTTATATACAACAATTGACATGCTCCTCAGAGAAGCTTCTACAAATGCGGTAGACAGTGATTAACAGAGACTCTTTACTGATCAAGGTGCAGAGGGTAATCCTGAGGAATGCTCTACCTGGTTAGCTCGTGTTGCTCTAAACAATTTCCACAAACTTCGGATAACTTCTCTGAAGCTCTGAAGCTCCTTTAAGTTTTCTTTTGATCTTTCTTTCTTTCTTGTGTGTGTGTGTGTGTGTGTGTGTGTGTGTGTATAGATATGGCTTCTTATGTGTGTGTTTGTGTGTGTATATATATATATATATAGATAGATATGGTTTCTTATGTGTGTGTGTGTGTGTGTGTGCATACACATGTATGAGTGTGTATGCCCATGTGTGAGTGTGTGTGTGTGTGCAGACGCATGTGTGAGTGCCTATATGTGTGTGGAGGTTGGAGGTGAATATTGCTGTTCTTCACCTTATTGCTTTGTGGTAAAGTCCCACTGAACCTGGGACTCACAGAGCTCTTCTACTTGGTAGGTTGGTCAGGTAGCTGCAGGGATCTGGATGTCTCTACACTGTGACTCAGGGCTGGGGTTACACACATGTCCTGCTGTGCTGATTAACCTGGATGCTGGGGATCTGAACTCAAGTCCTCATGCTTGCAGAATGAGCACGTTACTGAATGAACCATCATCTCAGCAGCAGCTTTGGAGTTCTAGGCGTGTGCTCCTGAGGGAGCCACGAAGGAAAAGTCTACTTCCGTGTTCTTTTTAGCCTCTTGAGGCATGCACATGCCCTTCGTCTTCCATCCTTGTAAAACTGAACCTTTAGTCTCCCTGTTCTTAGCTAAGAAGTAGCACATTACCCATTTTGCGGTCGTTTGCTTCTCCTAAACACACCCTGCGGGATTTTCCTACAGTCTACAGGGTGTCCTTGCTCATTCTTTCCCCGTCTGCTGACCCTGCGGTGTGGCTGTGTCCTAGGTTATGGAAATATCTTCCTTAGAGAGGGAATGCCGTTGTCTCCAGAGTTCTGTTGTTATAGACAGTATGGTAGCGGATCAGCACATGTATATATTTTTCTGGTGTTTGAAGAGGGATCATGGGGATAAACCCTGGATGCTAATACAATGGACACAGGGTCAAGGTGTTGGAAAATTTTTTAGATTTTGCCATAGTAACTTCTTCGCACATGCCAATCACTGTCTGAAGTAGGATAGTTAACCTGTAGCCTTTCTGAGAAGGAACTGAGAGCCTCAGATATTGAACACCCCATCTTATACAGAAATCCAGCATTCCATAGACTTAATCTACCCTGATCATGAAAGTCTTTGGGGGTGGGCACAGCAGGCAAACACAAGTGGAACCTGTGGCCACCCACCTCTGGTCATGGCACTATGCCCACCCCAGCTCTAGGAAGCTGCATACAGTGGTTGACGTTAAAGGGCTGTTATCTGTCCTTGTGGCTCTGGGGCTGTTAGGAAGTCTCTGGGGTGGACTCTTCCCACAGGACTTCAGGATTCATTGTGGTGGAAAGAAGGAGGCATAAGGCAGGCTCTCTCTTCAGGAATTAAGTGTCTGTCAGTTGTTGTCACTGTCTTTGGGACACAGGAGTCCTTGTCTTTGGGGGTCACGAACAAGTTCTATGGAAAATTTGAAGGGCAGAGCCCACAGAGCTTCTGGCTGTGGTCACATTGGGAATATGTTCTCACTGTCGCCCAGGCCACCAAATACTGTAGGAGAGACACAGGTGGGTAGGTAAGCGTTAACTACTGGCCATCTGAAGGTACTCTGACTTCCTGAGATGTCCTCATCCTCCCCTGAAAAGAGGTAGGCCCATCTGTCAAGACCTCTGAATTTACCCTTCACTTAGCAATGAGTCACAATCTCAGCACCAGGGCATAGGCCACTGAGAACGCTGAAAGTAGGCAGAGAGAACTGTACAGGTCTGGCTTGACTGTTCCCATGTTACTGGAAAGGGGAGTGAGGATAGAGGAAAGAAATAGACAAGAGACAGAAGTTAGAGTCAGTGAATGTGGTAACAGAAACCCTGAGTTTATCACTCACGGTCCTTATCTAACCCAATCAAAAGAAAGGACACAAGACCTTCATGATACAAAGAACAA